GATAGCCCCCGTGTTCGCTGCAGTGCTGCAGCTCCGCTCCCTGCCCCGCTCTGGGCAGAAAATGGTGATTCTGGTCCAAGGATCTCAGCCTGGCAAAACCTGGTGTGAAATCGTTTTGGTCCTCTCCCCCCACCCCGCCCCCAGGAGTGGAGATTCGCATTTCAGATTTGTTTGATGCTGGGGGGGCGTTTGGGTGCCGCAGCACGGCACCGCGCGTGCAGACCTGACCCAGAGGCGAACAGGCCGAGGTTCGGTCTGTGCGGGAAGCTCGGCCCCGTTTCCCCAGGGGTTCTAACGCTGCGCTCTGTCCCTCCCATAGGCTTTGGCGGTGGTAAATATGTCTCCTTTGAGGACCGTCACTGGCACCATAATTGCTTTAACTGCGCCCGCTGCAACACCTCGCTGGTCGGGAAAGGCTTCATCCCCGACAACGATGAGATCCTGTGCCGCGACTGCAGCAGCGACCTATGAGCCTCCGAGGGTGCTGCGGGGCAGGGGCTTTCTCTATTCTTCAGGGTCTGTGTGCCAGGTACCCCGACAACATTTCAGGGGCAGGGCACAAGGCACAGGAGATGGGGGCTGCCCCCGAGCCGCGGTGTGTTCTGGGGGTTCCTGTGCCCCTCCCTGAAGGCTAGAGTACGCTATGCTATGGCTCTGTGCAGGGTCAAAGCTAAATAAAGTTGGAAAAGGAGCTTCAAGACACCCCCCCCTTATCTACTCTTTCCTTTTGCTTCCTGTCTGACCAGGCACGAGCTGAGCCCAGGGCCCCAGCTGAGCAAAGGGCGGCGGCAGCAGCAGCTTCAGCATCGGGCTGCTGATCTGCACGCTGGCAGCATGTACTTGCTCCCCTTGGCACCACGCTGACCTTTCTCTTTTCCCCATGTGCTTCCCTTGCTCTGTGTGATCTCAGGCAGCAGCTCCTGGTCCGTGTTGCCTGGTTTAGCCGATGGCTTTGCGGGACGGCCGTGTCCGTACGCACGCTGGCCTGTGGCGCTGCTCAAGCCGGGCACGAAGGGCGCGCTCTGCCCTGCTTGGGGACACCAGGCTGGAGTGTCGCCAGGGGAAGAGCATGTGTCCTGCCGGATGGGGTCCACCTCTGGATTTCTGTAGCCACCTCACTGCGGGCCAGACCCTTTGCACATCTCCATGGAGATGTTCTCCCTCAGAAGTGAATGAGGAGCTCGAATGGCTTGCAGATACGGGGCATTCTGCCCCCACCACCTCCCTGCCCTGTTCTGTCCATCTGTGCTGTGATTCCCACCGCTGCGGTGCCTGAGCTGGAGCTGGTGGGTACTGGCCTGCTGGTGGCCCCCCGAGATGCGCCTGGCTGAGCCCAGCATGCTGAAGGCTGAGCGTACCAAGGGCTTTGCTCCTGCTCCGTCCCTCTCATGGGGACCCGTGGGACAGGCATGGCCTTACTGAGCCCAGCTGCCAGCGGCACAGGTAACACTGGAGATCAGCCGTTAATTCGGGGAGGGGAGCGTTGCCCCCGGGCTGTGCCCGTGCTCGGTGGCTGCTGGGAGCGCTGGAGGGGAGGCGCTGCGGGAGCGGGGGGCTCCGGCACCG